TGGATAACTACTGTTAGGGGATTGAAGTGAATAACGGGGTTTGGTTGAACTTGAGCTGGGTATTGAGTCGATGTGTGGCCGAGTAACGGTGGTGAGAGCATGTAGTGGAAAAAATAGTGAGGGTTCATGAATGCCGAAGATGGATAACGGGGCAAAGAGTTGGGTGAAAGAGAGGATATCAGTAGATAGAGAGAAGGTATGGTTAACTTGAAGTAAAGTCTTGGAAGTAATTTAAGGTTAGGAATAGGCATGGTAGTTGGTATTACTTACGATGGATAAGGTTTTTTTCCTTAGTGTCGAGCTCCTTCTGGATGTTGGTTCAATTATTTCTCTTGTTTAAATGTATTTTGATCCCCTCCTCTCTGATCTTTTGCCGGTCCCTCCTCCTCAGCTACTTGCCTCTTGTTTCTTGTCTCTCTCACACTGTTTCTTTGAGTATGAGCACTACTGTATTGCAGCAAAGCCAATTTTTCTTATAATACGTTCTTGTAAATTCATCTGAGTGCCCCTGGCTGTCATTATTTTAATGATTTATGCTCTTCTCCTATGTTGTTTTCCTCTCTCATAACCAAGCCATCATTGATTTGTCTTTCTCCTGCATGCCTCGTTGTTCTAATGTTCACTCCGCATCTTTGACGATACTTATCACTTCAGGCTCCTTTTCAGAAAATATGAAAATAATGTCTTTGGCCCTAATATCCTTTCTGTTTATCTCTTCCATACTTAGTTTCTCCTCCATACATCTATCTTGCCTGGTGTCTGTTCCTTGTCTGTTGGCCAATTTTTTCGCATCTACTTCTTTTTGTTATCTCACAAATATATCATCAAATCCCTTTCAAAGTTTCGATTCCAATATGTGTGTCATCAGCTTATTTAATTACCATTTTACACCATAACCATTTCTCTCTAACTCCTCGTACATTGTCACCATCTCTCTATAGTGACTCCCACCTGTCATTCTTCTAACATTCACTCTAGGCTCTGTCATCCTACTTCACGCTTCACTCTGCAGTTTAAATTAAGCCACAAAGGTTGGTCCTTGACTCTATTTAAATCAAATACTTTTGCTTACCACAGCCTTGAGGAGAAAGAAGACTAGACTTGCTGCCATTACTGTTTCTTTCCCATTGTTCTCTAACAACTGGTTCGCCGCTAGTAAGCCTTCTGGCTCACATTATCCACTGATAACTTTCGAGATTTTATTACAATCTGTTGATTGATATTTCATTAACCTTATCTACTCTCATAGTGTTATAAAACACATCATCTTTATCAACCATTACATTACCCAGATATTTTTTTTATTTTTTCATCTTTACTTTTTATCCTCATGGATTCAAACATCACCTTAATTTATCGCGCACTCTTGATCTACACTATTCATTTCACTTGTTGCATGTTCACCGGATATTAGCAAACTAGCAAGTGTGGTGTATGAGGACATTTTGTATGCTCATATATTCTACACTCAGTAAGGAAGGTAATGTTTTTATCAGCTGCCACAACATTTTTTAATCACTTTATTTGTGTAGTTGTGGAGTTCGATTCTCAGCTCCTGATTCCGCCTCTTAACGAGCCGTGACCAGGATCACTTGTTCCTAGCTGAGTGAGCTCTGTCACATCTCTTCGGAAAACTGTGTATAGAGCTGCCCCCACTGACCTAACTTTCAAATTATTCCATGAGGCTCAAGAAGATAATTTTTGGCACCACTGAAATTCCAAACATGGCATTTATTTTGTTTTTAATCTCAAACGGCCTTTTTTTATCCATACTGTAAAGTATTCTATCTTGTCAATTACTATCACTGAATATCACAGGAATTCAGTTATACGCTTGAGTAGATCTATCTCATTCATATTGATAATATGAATTTGAAAAGTACGTTCATAGAGTAACTTGCAAGTTAAACAGAGTAAGTGATGTTATAGTAGCCAGGCTTAGACTTGTTTACAAGTACTTATGGCAGTGTGGCAGACACAGATGATGATCTAACTAAAGGTGAAGTATTTGGTTACTTTCGTGACTATATCTAATCTTCGTGACTTTTTCCACTTACTGAGAAAGACAGCATAATAACCATTGTAGAATGTCAAAGTATCATATTAATGTAAATAAGATACCAGACATATTACGCAAATATCCTTAATTTACTCGCAACAGATACCCGTAAGTCAATCAGTAATTGTTAAAATTCAGATGTACCCCTCTTAATCTTTCTTTTTTTTTTTTTTTGGAGTGCCTAGTTGCTAGTATTTTTGTGTGTCCATATGCTTTTGCGCTACCTCTCCTTCGTGTGTGTGTATGTATGTGTGTCTGTGTGTGTGTGTATGTATGTATGTATGTATGTATGTGTGTACTCACCTATTTGTGGTTGCAGGGGTCGAATCATTGTTCCTGGCCCCGCCTCTTCACTGATGTGTGTGTGTGTGTGTGTGTGTGTGTGTGTGTGTGTGTGTGTGTGTGTGTGTGTGTGTGTGTGTGTACTCACCTAGTTGTACTCACCTAGTTGAGCTTGCAGGGGTCGAGTCCAAGCTCCTGGCCCCGCCTCTTCACTGGTCGCTACTAGGTCACTCTCCCTGAACCATGAGCTTTATCATACCTCTGCTTAAAACTATGTATGGATCCTGCCTCCACTACATCGCTTCCCAAACTATTCCACTTCCTGACTACTCTGTGGCTGAAGAAATACTTCCTAACATCCCTGTGATTCATCAGTGTCTTCAACTTCCAACTGTGTCCCCTTGTTGCTGTGTCCCATCTCCGGAACATCCTGTCTCTGTCCACCTTGTCAATTCCTCTCAGTATTTTGTATGTCGTTATCATGTCCCCCCTATCTCTCTTGCCCTCCAGTGTCGTCAGGTTGATTTTCCTTAACCTCTCCTCGTAGGACATACCTCTTAGCTCTGGGATTAGTCTTGTTGCAAACCTTTGCACTTTCTTTAGTTTCTTTACGTGCTTGGCAAGGTGTGGGTTCAAAACTGGTGCCGCATACTTCAATATGGGCCTAACGTACACGGTGTACAGGATCCTGAATGATTCCTTATTAAGATGTCGGAATGCTGTTCTGAGGTTTGCTAGGCGCCCATATGCTGCAGCAGTTATTTGGGTGACGTGCGCTTCAGATGTGTCTGGTGTTATACTCACCCCAAGATCTTTTTCCTTGAGCGAGGTTTGTAGTCTCCGGCCCCCTAGACTGTACTCCGTCTGCGGTCTTCTTTGCCCTTCCCCAATCTTCATGACTTTGCACTTGGTGGGGTTGAACTCCAGGAGTCAATTGCTGGACCAGGTGTGCAGCCTGTCCAGATCCCTTTGTAGTTCTGCCTGGTCTTCGATCGAATGAATTCTTCTCATCAACTTCACGCCATCTGCAAACAGGGACACTTCGGAGTCTATTCCTTCCGTCATGTCGTTCACAAATACCAGAAATACCACTGGTCCAAGAACTGACCTCTGTGGGACCCCGCTGGTCACAGGTGCCCACTCTGACACCTCGCCACGTACCATGACTCGCTGCTGTCTTCCTGACAAGTATTCATTGATCCATTGTAGTGCCTTCCCTGTTATCCCTGCTTGGTCCTACAGTTTTTGCACTAATCTCTTGTTTGGAACTGTGTCAAACGCCTGCTTGCAGTCCAAGAAAATGCAATCCACCCATCCCTCTCTCTCTTGTCTTACTGCTGTCACCATGTCATAGAACTCCAGTAGGTTTGTGACACAGGATTTCCCGTCCCTGAAACCATGTTGGCTGCTGTTGATGAGATCATTCCTTTCTAGGTATTCCACCATTCTTCTCCCGACAATCTTCTCCATGACTTTGCATACTATACATGTCAGTGACACTGGTCTGTAGTTTAGTGCTTCATGTCTGTCTCCTTTTATAAGGATTGGGACTACATTTGCTGTCTTCCATGCCTCAGGCAATCTCCCTGTTTCGATAGATGTATTGAATATTGTTGTTAGGGGTACACATAGCGCCTTTGCTACCTCTCTCAGGACCCACGGAGAGATATTATCCGGCCCCATTGCCTTTGAGGTATCTAGCTCACTCAGAAGCCTCTTCACTTCTTTCTCGGTTGTGTGTACTGTGTCCAGCAATTGGTGATGTGCCCCAACTCTACGTCTTTCTGGAGCCCCTTCTGTCTCCTCTGTGAACACTTCTTTGAATCTCTTGTTGAGTTCCTCACATACTTCACGGTCATTTCTTGTTGTCTCTCCTCCTTCCTTCCTTAGCCTGATTACCTGGTCCTTGACTGTTGCTTTCCTTCTGATGTGGCTGTATAACAGCTTCGGGTCAGATTTGGCTTTCGCTGCTATGTCGTTTTCATATTGTCGTTGGGCCTCCCTTCTTATCTGTGCATATTCGTTTCTGGCTCTACGACTGCTCTCCTTATTCTCCTGGGTCCTTTGCCTTCTATATTTTTTCCATTCCCTAGCACACTTGGTTTTTGCCTCCCTGCACCTATGGGTGAACCATGGGCTCATCCTGGCTTTTTCATTATTCCTGTTTCCCTTGGGTACAAACCTCTCCTCAGCCTCCTTGCACATTGTTGCTACATATTCCATCATCTCATTAACTGGCTACCCTGCCAGTTCTCTGTTCCACTGAACCTCGTTCAGGAAGTTCCTCATTCCCGTGTAGTCCCCTTTCCTGTAGTTTGGCTTCATTCGTCCTGGCCTTCCTGCTTCCCCCTCAACTTGTAGCTCTACTGTGTGTGAAAGAGTAATGGAAAGCAAAGATAAGTTTTCTATAAACTTAAAAGTGCTACGATCCGACACTCAAACTGACATGATCGAATAATACTCGCCAATATGTTCTACATCCTTCAGTCACACTTTATCTCTTTCTCTTCTACCATCACTCCTACTGCACACTTTTCTCCCGTTCTACTGTCCTTTCTACATCACATCCCTCCTCTACTTCCGTCATTCCTACCGACTCACCCCTTCTGCAGTCACATCCCATAACGTACTTTCCCTCCTTTCTCCTCATGTTACGCAGTTTTACCCGAGTGTCGAGAGCCACGTAACGTCACCGTCTCCGTAACGGCTACTGAAGAGGTTACGCTGGACTGCGTGGTGGAATCTAATCCTGAAGAGGTAAGTGAGGGTGAGTGTGTGGGGGTTATGTGTTTGAGCTGTTATTGGTGTTCGTGAACGTGGGAAGGTGGGGGTAGAATAGGCTACAGATGAAGACAAAATGTTTGCCGAATAATGAATGCTTACCCGGTGAAGGAAAACAAATAGCATGAGTTATTGTGAAGACAACACCAGAGGCGCCTCCTGAAGTCCTAGTGATCAAAGATGTCATGGAAAATGCATGCAGTTGTTTGTTCCCCAGCATCACATCACACACAACTACAATAAGAGGTAACTGGGAGATGACAAATACAGGTGGGCTTCTGAAGATGAGGTTGCACCAAGCAAGGTTCTGAGAACAAGAACCGTGGAAGTAGAGGTGAAAGAGAGAGAGAGAGAGAGAGAGAGAGAGAGGAGAGAGAGAGAGAGAGAGAGAGAGAGAGAGAGCTGATGTAGGTAACAGCTCTTAGCTTGCCAATAAAGTTAGGAATCCTTAACCTGTAAATAGCTTGTCAATAAAGCTAGGGATCCTTAACCTTGTCAAACCCTGTGTAAAATAAAAAAAAAGAAAAAAAAAAAAAAAAAAAGAGAGAGAGAGAGAGAGAAGGATGCATCTTTGAGGCGAAGTCTAGTGATTTAAGATTTAGCTTTAAAATCACTGGCATTGATGAGACAAATAACTTTCCTAACTATTTCATCAACAGTCATTATGGATGAAGTATTATGGTGAGAACAATTCTCTTCACATGATCAGACGTGATTTGTATAACTGAAGTTTTTTAAAAGTGATAAAATACCTTTTGATCCTTAAATAAAAGTGATTATGATTTCCTTGCTGTTCGTAGACCCTTAGTGCTCAGTACAGGATTTTTTTTTTATGAAAAATAATGCAATTAATCCGTATTTCTTTTAATGTTTCACGTAAACAAGACGTAAAATAATTCATTATAAATAAAATCGGAATCAGACCCAAGATATTCAGTGAGAAATGTTGGACACGAAGATTGAGAACCGAGGCCATCATCATATAAATATCATAGCACATAATGTGAAGACTGACCAGTGATTAACAGACGGCGGCTGGAGCACAGCATGGCCCGTGTGGACCATGTTGTGTAGTGAATGGGCATTACCCAGTTACCCAACTGATGATCAGCAAGATACTTACTATGTTCACGGTTCTTGCGAAACATTTAATCAGGAACATATTAAAACACATTCGGCTATAAGCATTAGTGATCTGTGACTCCATACTAAAATGACTCACGAAATCGTAATGACACGATTGCGAACAAACGATACCACGGGCGGGGATAGAACTTGCCTTTGTGGTCACAGTGGTACCTATGATAACCTTCCTATGGTGTAGAAATATACCTAGTTGGATGAATCTTATTGTGGCTAGCTGGTCCAGTGGCTAACGCAACGGTCTGGAGTTTTAAGACTCTCTGATCGCGGATTCTATCCCCGCCCGTGGTATGTTTTTTTCCATACTAAAATAACAGTGTGCAAGTTACTTCATAGGAGACACTTCTCCACAGAAAAGTGTGCTTGGTCTTTTGTTTTTGGACTGTTTATCGTAACAGCCTGACTCACTTCATCTCTTATTCCCACACCTACGCAAACGACTAAATTTTTTCAAAATCTTATGAAAGAGAGGAGACTCACGTTGCAGATATTTGTCTGAAGCAAGACTTACATTGGCCACTGAGAAAATTAAAATGCTAACGGTTCTTAGAAAGCATGACACCTGTTGACTTATATTTGATGACAAGGGATCATCACCAGAGCGGTCTGTGACTATGCTTCCTTACTGATTGTCTGGTCAGACAGGCTGTTGGTGTTTGATTCCTGTACTTAGACGGAGGCACTATAGCAAAGTTCTTCAAAATTTGTTTTAAAATAATTATAAAGTTTCTTCTTGCACGAAGAGAGAGAGAGAGAGAGAGAGAGAGAGAGAGAGAGAGAGAGAGAGAGAGAGAGAGAGAGAGAGAGAGAGAGAGAGAGAGAGAGAGAGAGAGAGAGAGAGAGAAAGAAAGAGAGATTCTGAACTCATTTCACCATCCCTCCTCCCCAGGTACAGTTCTTATGGAAGGTGAACAGCAGCAGGGGCGTGAAGGACCTGCCGCCCACCAGCTTCACCACCCGCGGCAGCACTAGCACACTGGTATATCGCCCACACACCCACTCCCACGCCCACGACAAATACGGCATTGTCTTCTGCCTCGGCCGGAACAGATTGGGCAGCCAGAGGGTGCCTTGTGTCTTCTTCATCACCCCAGCAGGTGAGGCAATACGTAAAATATACTTTGCGCACATAAGGGCAGATAAAAACAGTATCTTGGGCGCTTCTCTTGAAGCGCCCGAGAAGCGGTCTCAGCAGGAAATAGCTGGCTTGTTTATATACATCAGACCGGGCGAAACACTTCTCTTTGTACTTCAAGTCGAGCGAAACCTGCAATGGGTTAATTAAGAAAGGTTAAATATTGCTGTAGCTAGCTCATGTCACGTGAAATACTCAGTCAGGAAATTCAAATCAAGTGAAACACTGCCTTTATGCTTCAGACCAAGTGAAACACTGCCTTTATGCTTCAGACCAGAGCAGGTGAACAACACTTGCCTGGGTACTTTGGGGCAGGTGAACAACTCTTGCCTGGGTACTTCAGAGCAGGTGAACAACACTTTCCTGGGTACTTCAGAGCAGGTGAACAACACTTTCCTGGGTACTTCAGGGCAGGTGAACAACACTTTCCTGGGTACTTCAGAGCAGGTGAACAACACTTTCCTGGGTACTTCAGAGTAGGTGAAAAACACTTTCCTGGGTACTTCAGGGCAGGTGAACAACACTTTCCTTCGTACTTCAGAGCAGGTGAACAACACTTGACTGGGTACTTCAGAGCAGGTGAACAACACTTTCCTGGGTACTTCAGAGCAGGTGAACAACACTTGACTGGGTACTTCAGGGCAGGTGAACAACACTTTCCTGGGTACTTCAGAGCAGGTGAACAACACTTTCCTGGGTACTTCAGAGCAGGTGAACAACACTTTCCTGGGTACTTCAGAGCAGGTGAACAACACTTGCCTGGGTACTTCAGGGCAGGTGAACAACACTTGCCTGGGTACTTCAGAGCAGGTGAACAACTCTTGTCTGGGTACTTCAGAGCAGGTGAACAACACTTGCCTGGGTACTTCAGGGCAGGTGAACAACACTTGCCTGGGTACTTCAGAGCAGGTGAACAACACTTGCCTGGGTACTTCAGGCCAGGTGAACAACACTTGCCTGGGTACTTCAGGGCAGGTGAACAACACTTGCCTGGGTACTTCAGGCCAGGTGAACAACACTTGCCTGGGTACTTCAGGGCAGGTGAACAAATCTTGCCTGGGTACTTCAGAGCAGGTGAACAACACTTGCCTGGGTACTTCAGAGCAGGTGAACAACACTTGCCTGGGTACTTTGGGGCAGGTGAACAACACTTTCCTGGGTACTTCAGAGCAGGTGAACAACACTTGCCTGGGTACTTTGGGGCAGGTGAACAACACTTTCCTGGGTACTTCAGAGCAGGTGAACAACACTTGCCTGGGTACTTCAAGGCAGGTGACCAACACATGCCTGGGTACTTCAGAGCAAGTGAGCAACACTTGCTGGGTACTTTGGGGCAGTTGAACAACATTTGCCTTGGTACTTCAGGGCAGGTGAACAACACTTTCCTGGGTACTTCAGGGCAGGTGAACAACACTTTCCTGGGTACTTCAGAGCAGGTGTGAACAACACTTGCCTGGATACTTTGGGACAGGTGGACAACACTTGCCTGGGTACTTCAGGACAGGTGAACAACACTTGCCTGGGTACTTCAAGGCAGGTGACCAACACATGTCTGGGTACTTCAGAGCAAGTGAGCAACACTTGCTGGGTACTTTGGGGCAGGTGAACAACACTTTCCTGGGTACTTCAGAGCAGGTGAACAACACTTGCCTTGGTACTTAAGGACAGGTGAACAACACTTGCCTGGGTACTTCATAGCAGGTGAACAACACTTGCCTGGGTACTTCAGAGCAGGTGAACAACACTTTACTGGGTACTTCAGAGCAGGTGAACAAAACTTGCCTGGGTACTTCAGAGCTGGTGAACACCACTTGCCTGGGTACTTCAGAGCAGGTGAACAACACTTGCCTGGGTACTTCATAGCAGGTGAACAACACTTGCCTGGGTACTTCAGAGCAGGTGAACAACACTTTACTGGGTACTTTGGGGCAGGTGAACAACACTTTCCTGGGTACTTCAGAGCAGGTGAACAACACTTTACTGGGTACTTTGGGGCAGGTGAACAACACTTTCCTGGGTACTTCAGAGCAGGTGAACAACACTTGCCTGGGTACTTCAGGGCAGGTGAACAACACTTTCCTGGGTACTTCAGAGCAGGTGAACAACACTTTCCTGGGTACTTCAGAGCAGGTGAACAACACTTTCCTGGGTACTTCAGAGCAGGTGAACAACACTTTCCTTCGTACTTCAGGGCAGGTGAACAACACTTTCCTTCGTACTTCAGAGCAGGTGAACAACACTTGACTGGGTACTTCAGAGCAGGTGAACAACACTTTCCTGGGTACTTCAGAGCAGGTGAACAACACTTTCCTGGGTACTTCAGGGCAGGTGAACAACACTTTCCTGGGTACTTCAGAGCAGGTGAACAACACTTGCCTGGGTACTTCAGGGCAGGTGAACAACACTTTCCTGGGTACTTCAGAGCAGGTGAACAACACTTTCCTGGGTACTTCAGAGCAGGTGAACAACACTTTCCTGGGTACTTCAGAGCAGGTGAACAACACTTTCCTGGGTACTTCAGGGCAGGTGAACAACACTTTCCTGGGTACTTCAGAGCAGGTGAACAACACTTGACTGGGTACTTCAGAGCAGGTGAACAACACTTTCCTGGGTACTTCAGAGCAGGTGAACAACACTTGCCTGGGTACTTCAGGGCAGGTGAACAACACTTTCCTGGGTACTTCAGAGCAGGTGAACAACACTTTCCTGGGTACTTCAGAGCATGTGAACAACACTTTCCTGGGTACTTCAGAGCAGGTGAACAACACTTGCCTGGGTACTTCAGGGCAGGTGAACAACACTTGCCTGGGTACTTCAGAGCAGGTGAACAACTCTTGTCTGGGTACTTCAGAGCAGGTGAACAACACTTGCCTGGGTACTTCAGGGCAGGTGAACAACACTTGCCTGGGTACTTCAGAGCAGGTGAACAACACTTGCCTGGGTACTTCAGGCCAGGTGAACAACACTTGCCTGGGTACTTCAGGGCAGGTGAACAACACTTGCCTGGGTACTTCAGGCCAGGTGAACAACACTTGCCTGGGTACTTCAGGGCAGGTGAACAACTCTTGCCTGGGTACTTCAGAGCAGGTGAACAACACTTGCCTGGGTACTTCAGAGCAGGTGAACAACACTTGCCTGGGTACTTTGGGGCAGGTGAACAACACTTTCCTGGGTACTTCAGAGCAGGTGAACAACACTTGCCTGGGTACTTTGGGGCAGGTGAACAACACTTTCCTGGGTACTTCAGAGCAGGTGAACAACACTTGCCTGAGTACTTCAAGGCAGGTGACCAACACATGCCTGGGTACTTCAGAGCAAGTGAGCAACACTTGCTGGGTACTTTGGGGCAGGTGAACAACATTTGCCTTGGTACTTCAGGGCAGGTGAACAACACTTTCCTGGGTACTTCAGGGCAGGTGAACAACACTTTCCTGGGTACTTCAGAGCAGGTGAACAACACTTGCCTGGATACTTTGGGACAGGTGGACAACACTTGCCTGGGTACTTCAGGACAGGTGAACAACACTTGCCTGGGTACTTCAAGGCAGGTGACCAACACATGCCTGGGTACTTCAGAGCAAGTGAGCAACACTTGTGGGTACTTTGGGGCAGGTGAACAACACTTTCCTGGGTACTTCAGAGCAGGTGAACAACACTTGCCTTGGTACTTAAGGACAGGTGAACAACACTTGCCTGGGTACTTCATAGCAGGTGAACAACACTTGCCTGGGTACTTCAGAGCAGGTGAACAACACTTTACTGGGTACTTCAGAGCAGGTGAACAACACTTGCCTGGGTACTTCAGAGCTGGTGAACACCACTTGCCTGGGTACTTCAGAGCAGGTGAACAACACTTGCCTGGGTACTTCATAGCAGGTGAACAACACTTGCCTGGGTACTTCAGAGCAGGTGAACAACACTTTACTGGGTACTTTGGGGCAGGTGAACAACACTTTCCTGGGTACTTCAGAGCAGGTGAACAACACTTTACTGGGTACTTTGGGGCAGGTGAACAACACTTTCCTGGGTACTTCAGAGCAGGTGAACAACACTTGCCTGGGTACTTCAGAGCTGGTGAACAACACTTGCCTGGGTACTTGAAGGCAGGTGAACAACACTTGCCTAGGTACTTCAGAGCAGGTGAACAACACTTTCCTGCGTACTTCAGGGCAGGTGAACAACACTTTCCTGGGTACTTCAGGGCAGGTGAACAACACTTTCTTGGGTACTTCAGAGCAGGTGAACAAAAATTGTCTTGGTACTTCAGAGCAGGTGAACAACACTTTCCTGGGTACATCAGAGCAGGTGAATAACACTTTCTTGGGTACTTCAGAACAGGTGAACAACACTTTCCTGGGTACTTCAGAGCAGGTGAACAACACTTGACTGGGTACTTCAGAGCAGGTGAACAACACTTTCTTGGGTACTTCAGAGCAGGTGAACAACACTTGACTGGGTATTTCAGAGCACGTGAACAACACTTGACTGGGTACTTCAGAGGAGGTGAACAACACTTTCCTGGGTACTTCAGAGCAGGTGAACAACACTTTCCTGGGTACTTCAAAGCAGGTGAACAACACTTGCCTGGGTACTTCAGAGCAGGTGAACAACACTTTCCTGGGTACTTCAGAGCAGGTGAACAACACTTTCCTGGGTACTTCAGAGCAGGTGAACAACACTTTCCTGGGTACTTCAGGGCAGGTGAACAACACTTTCCTGGGTACTTCAGAGCAGGTGAACAACACTTTCCTGGGTACTTCAGAGCAGGTGAACAACACTTTCCTGGGTACTTCAGAGCAGGTGAACAACACTTTCCTTGGTACTTCAGGGCAGGTGAACAACACTTTCCTGGGTACTTCAGAGCAGGTGAACAACACTTGCCTGGGTACTTCAGGGCAGGTGAACAACACTTTCCTGGGTACTTCAGAGCAGGTGAACAACACTTTCCTGGGTACTTCAGAG